CTCTTAAGTGGCGTTGTCTCAGATGACTGTTCCTTTTCACAGACTTTGTTGCATTCAGAGCTCTGTCTCTTAACTATAAATGGATAACTCCAGTCTTACATGCAGTGTATTTCCCATGGTATGCATGTGTTCACAAAACTATTTGTGGCCTTGTGGTTCTTTAGTAATTTCTGGGTTTGGTTTTTTTTTTTTGACATCATCTTTCTGAACCTTCTCACATAAGCTGGACATCTTCTGCTTTCCTTCTGTTAAGAGGGCTCTGGTGCATCTTAACCTAAATGTAAAACCATTGTATAAAGGAAAAACATATCCCAAGTCCTTTCCTCCTTATGACAATCTGGCCCTGTCTCACTGGAGATGAGCATGAGGCCAGCTACTGCCCTTTGGATGTGTGCATGTCCAGGGCATGCTGTGGCCTTTGCACTCCTGTTCAGGCATATTTATGACAACTTTACAAGGCATTGAACAATTGGAGAGTGTGGGGTGGGGGCAGGACACTCCAAGCACATCAATCAGTTTCATCCCTCTGAGCCAAAGCAAAAGCAATCTTTATTTTTCCCTGGGTTGAGAGAGAATCAACAGTGGCATGAGAGAAGAATGGGAAGGAGTGAATGAGGAACCCCCTCTGCCACTGGCTAGCAGTGGCTCATTTAAACAGATGGCTTTGTTTTGATTTGGACTCTCCATTTTTTTTGTCTCCCCACTAAAGGAGACCTGCAGAGTTCTGTCCAGAAAGGGAGCAATACAGCCGCCTGTTCCCACACAAGTGGGGCGAAAGGCGAGAGGCTTTGAGAATTCCCTGCTTCTTTTCCTCGCCTCCCTCTTTCTCTCTTCCCCCAAGAAATCACAGTTTGAGAGAATTCCCCCCTACTCCTCCCGTTGGAAAGAAAGACAGAGAAGACATTCTTGACATTCTTTGCAGAGAAAAGGGGTTAAATGTCTGAATTTGGGGGTCACCATGTTATACAAATTGCAATCTAATCGTTTTTACAAGAACACACGTGTGCTAAGAAAAGGAGCCATGGACAAGAAAGAAAAGAGGACAGACAACCTTTTTTTGTCCTATCTTCTTTTTTTTTTCTTTCTTTTTTCCCCCCAAGGTTTTGGACTATTGTCATGTCCTGTCTCTCTCCCCTCCTCACCCCCGAGAGGGAGAACATTGGTTTTATAGTTAAATTGGTTCGTAAAGCAGAAGGGCTTGGTGCCATTTCTGTTTGTTTTCCCAAATAAAAGCCCCAGCAGGGTCTCTTTTGCACCGTTGTGGCTTTATTTGAAGAAACTGGCTTTTTCCCATAGCCCAGTGTGTCAGTTTATCCTCTGAACTTAACCTTACGGGAACCCGAACAACAAAAACTCACAGGGTCCCAGAGCTGGAAAGGTAAAGAAATTGTATCTTTTTATTGGACCATTTAAAGCGTGTGTGGGCCAATTCAGAGAAAGCAGAAGAAAAGAAGGCAAAACTCCCTCTTCTGTGTCCCCCTGACACAATCTCAAACCATCGTTGGTGTCATTCCCCCCTACTGCCTCGAGTCCCTTCAGCTGTGCTGAGGAAGCAGAGAGAGGCATTTCTTCTGCAAATCACTTACAAAAGCATCTCTGAGCCATTTCACATCGAGGTGCTCCTTTAAAATTCCCTAAGCCAGTCTCACATCTCCCTTCAGGAATTAGTAGCCTTGGCTAAGTGCAGGAGTAACCTTGGCATAGGGTAACTATGAAGAATGTATTTGCCAAGGACCTGTGCTTTGCCCTATTCACATTATAGACATTGTTTGACCAAGACTTTCCCCTCTTAGCATAAGACGATGCATTCCCTGGGTGCCCCAGCTGCTGTTGCAACGACTTGGAAGAGTCAAGAGCTCAGCTCTTCCCTTTGGTTTTGGTGAACTCTCCAACTTGAATGATGGAAGTTGTGCAAATGCTGCACTCTAGATAATGGTTTTTAAATGGGTTTTGTTTCCTTCCTCTGCTTGATACTCAGTCCGGATATCCCAGTGTTTTGAACTGAATGGTGCTCTTTCCACTTTTTTTTAAAGTATATGCTTCTCACCTGGATTGTTGCAAGTAGTTATTGGGGCTGAAATACTGGTTTAGAGCTCTGCTTGGTTTCTGAATAGTCACCTGCTCATGTGCAATGACTTCTCTTCAGTGGATGATCACAGTTTACAGATGAGGCTTCTAGAGCAAATGAGTATGTCTTTAATTTCACACATCTGTTTTCAGCAGATGTTCTGGATTCAGCAGTTTCCTAGAATTTGCATATTTGCATAATATCGGTTTTAGTGAATTGGGGTGACCAGAAATTGAGGGTGGGGAGAAATGTGTTTACTGTTTCATCCCAGCTTTTGGAGTGTAGTTCATATGTATTGGAGACAGCTGGCCAAGACCTGCAGCAAATGGGCAGGGTACAGGGAGGGAGGTGCAGACTTCTTTTGGACTCCAGCTATCAGCAAGGTCTTGGAGAAATCTGGGCTTTTATGGTAACACAAATAATTGAAGCGGCCTGGGAGGCTGTAGATGGCTTTAACTAGGCGATATCAGCATCCCATGGGTTAGCTGGAAAGTAACCATCTGGGTTCTGCCATGACCAGTTTTATTTGGTCTGCGTATTGCCGGGGTGAGGAGAAATAGAGCCTTAGAAGACTCCTGTCTTCTGGAAGTATCATGATAGCAGTGCTTGTGGCTGGATTTCCAGCATTAAAAGAGTGAAATGTGGAAATCCTGAACAAATAGCTTATTTGAAAAGTAATTTTTTTAAGTCGTGCTTTCTGAAGAACATGGGAATTGATGGAGATGTATCAAAGGATTCTCTGTAGTGCCTGAACAAAATGCCTTTCATTTTTGGACTCATTGGTTTGATACATTTCCCAGGCACAGGGACTTTCTTTAAACATCTTGTTCTACCGGCAACAAGTCCAGAGCCTGGTGCTAACACAGCTTTCCTGTGCTAGGGACAAAACGGGCTGCTGCATTTGCTCTGGCTCTGTTCTCTGTGGGCTGGTACTGGATTAATTACTGCCAGTATGCTATCAGTCTGTCTAGATGCTTAAGAGAAAGTGGAAGATACTGGGAATATCTGTGAGTTTCCTGCTGAGCACTGGGGGCTCAGCAGGACCTGTGTGTCTGTAGGCTGCGTGTTGGCCCAGGTGCTTTGTGGTTAAGGTGCTGAAGCCAAGAGCTCTAACTCTAGACTGGTCTTTCCAGGAAACCTGTCATGTTTGTGATCCCAGTGAGAACTAAGGTTCAAGTTAACTATCACATCTCTTTCTGTCCCTCATTGAGTAGATATTTTCTGCCCATGTAAGTTGGAAAACAATGGGTGATGTGCTTGTGTATCTGCTGCTCTTGTTGCTCCTTGATGGCTTATCTTGATCCTTTATGGATTATTAAGGCTGTGGGTTTTGCTCCCTAGGATGTGGAACCTGTTGGGGACTGGGGTTTGATGGCAGAGAGTAGTTGGGATAATGAAGAGTGGGCAATTTGTGGGTACTAACTTGAGATCCCAAGGCTGTGAGAGTTGTGGTAGCAGAGTTCCCTTCCCAGCATGGGCTCAGCATGGCCGTGTGTGCTACATGGATCTAGCCTGGCATGGTGGTAGCTGGTCCAGAGACACCTTAATCTGCTGAAACATGGGGGAAATATTAATCGTGTTCTGCATCTTCATCAATTTAAGTGTGCCTGTGCCAGAACACTCAGGTCTTTTGATATGTGTGCCCAGTGTACAGCACAGTATGATTTTCTTCCCCTGGTGTCAGATTGTAAGTGCTTCACTGTAGCAACTAATGTGTTGTTTCTGTAAACTGCTGAAGCACCACTGCTGCGTGCAGGGGCTGGACTTCCCAGTTGAAAGCCGCTTTGGCTGACCTATTCTTGGAGCAGGAGAATTGAACTGATGAACAAACCAGTTAAGCAAGGTTTGCTTTGCTGCAGTAACTTGCAAGTACCTGTTGCTTTCCTGCCTATAAAGAAAAACTAATCCTTCCCAGAGACACACACATGCACACAGTTTTTTTTCTTCTTTTTTGTTGCCTAGGCTGGAAAGGGGAGGGAGGAAAACAGGAGTGACTCTGGAATACTTGGGAACCACTGCAGTGAGGTGTGAAGGCATGGAAAAACGCTGGGAGAGAGGCACTTGGGTGGTAGTCAGTGTTGAACAATAAGCTCTGAAAGCAGGAGTCCAGAGTCTGGTTTCTCCTGTCCCTTTGTTGCTGAAATGTTTTGCTTGGAGATGTCACCAGGCTGCCATTAAAAATTGCTGCCATCTTGCAGCATTACAAGGTCTGGTCTGGCAGATGAAAGACAAGCTTTACTATGGCCAGGCTCATTCTGGGTGTGATGGCTGGTTTTTTAGAGGTGGGAAGTTGTGAGGAGATCTGCTGTGATTTGCATCAATCATCTGAGAAGAGGAAGAGGTCCCAGTGAGTAAAAGATCCCTGGATGTGCTTCTGCATCTTGCTACCTTTCCCCAGCATAATGCTTCTCTCTCCCTGAGCTCACTTAGCCCTTTACATATTAAAGGTGTATTAGCAGGGAAAATGGTGGAGGGGAAGTAACATCAACAGGCTTCAGCAAGTGAGCAGAAGATACCAGATATACTGCTGGGATGCATGGCACATGTGCAGCTGACCATGCTGGTTTTCTCTCCCAAACTGCCACGTGTTCAGAGCATCAGTCCAGGAGCTACCCTGCAAAACAAAACAAATGCAAGTAGCGTGCAGAAGTGGGGAGAGAGGGGTCTAAGCTCACTGAGACTGCTTATCACCTATAACTCCCTGCTCCTGCCTGAGCAATGGGCAGAGGATGTTGAGCAATGGCTTGTTGAACAGTCTGGCCTCTTAAGCATCTCACAGGTAGTGCTTGTTGAGGAGAGGAGCTGACTCCTCACACTTCTGTTGTACATCTTACAACTCTGGGTCACACATATAACCTATTAGGTGAAGAAAGCTTTGTGGAAGCCTTGAGAAGGGTTGTGTGCACCTCCATCTGTTCTGCTGGCTTTGCAGAATGGCAGGTGGAGGAGATCTGTGTGCTTGGAGGGGCAGGAAAGTGCCAGAGCTCAGAGATGCCCATCCATGCTTCTCTCATGGTGGAGCTGAGGACCCATCTGCCCAGCCAAACCCCACAGTTCTTGCTTCCAATGCTCAGACTGCAAATGCTTCAACATCTCGACCTGCACACAGGTGCAGAGTTGCTGCTGGGTTGGTTTGTAAGTAACCTTCCAAGGGTTAATGTATTGTGAGAAGGTTGCAAAGGGCTGAAGCCTGGAATCCCCTCGATCCTTTGCCTGAAGAAACACAAAGTCCAATAAGCCAGCACCCCTGGATTCGTGTTGGGGGGGATTAATTCATGCACTTGATGTTAAAGCTTGTCCGAGAGGTTTGCACGGGGGGGGGCATCGCTAGGGCTGGTTGGCCTCTCTAAATGGTTGCTAGGGCCCTGGCATCAAGGGCCAATGTAGCTGCCCACAGCCACGGTCACGGAGGGAATTACACAGCCACAAAGAAATTGTTATTCTACATAATCTGCTCTTTGGAGAGTGACTGTGGGGAAACAGGCTGGCCCCAGCATGCCGCCAGCTCTGTGATCATAGAAGCGTGCTGGCTGCAAAGATCGGCCAGGGCTCGCCTTCTGATCTGGGGACACCAGGGCTCGAGGCGCTAATCTGCTTTATCAGCGATTTCTCTCTCCTGACACAAAGGTGTTTACTTGTTTTAACATCTCCCGGGACTCTATTTCTCCTTTTGTGTGGTCTTTATCCCCCGACGAGGGCTTTAGCCCAGATTACAGACAGAATTAAGGCATTTGGCGATGTGCCTCAGAACTGTGTGATGCTGGATCAAGGAGCAGAAAGTAACAAAATAATGGGGGGAGATGCTGGGAGTGACCCCACTGCGGGATCCGTGCTGTTGGCTTTCAGGACCGCTTCATTGTCCTGAGAACCAAGAGGCTGTTGGAGAGGGGTGGCCGTGCAGCAGGGTTTGAAAAGCAGGTGCTTCAAGGTTTATTGTGTCCGGCATTTTGGATTTGGAGGGTATGAGGAGGAAGGCATGGAGGGTTTGCAATAAGCAGCTGGACAGATTGTCCCCTGCAAGAGTCTGCTATGGCTGGGGGTTGCTGGCTGCTGAGCAAGTGGAGTGATACTGGGGACGGGCTGTGCCATGTGCCCGATGGCAATTTCATATGGCCCAGGGAAAGGTTTCAAGCTCCTTCTTGCAGTCTAGCAGGGTTTGCCCTCCCCAGGCATCATCCATCTGATTTGCTCCTGGTTCAGCACATGAACAAGCAGCAGAGTTGTGTGGTGAGAAAGCATCTGGCTTAGAGCTTTATGGAGCTCTTGCTTTTGCTCTTCACAGCAAGTGGGGCATTAAGAAGGAGAAGGGGGTCTTAAAAGAAAAGCTAGTCTTTGAAAAGTCATTTCTGGAGCAGCCCTGCAGTGGTCACTCTTGACCTGTCATGTTCAACCCCAGAGAACAGTGGTTGCGGTAGCCAGTGTAACTGGAGGGGATTGAGGAGAGCAGCCATGGCAGACTGGGCCAGGAGAGTCTGACTTGCCTGTGGATCAGAGCTGTGTGTCAGAGATGTTGGGAAAAAGCCCAGTGGGCAGTATTTTGAAGGACGGAGTCTGAGATGGATTGGGACTGACCAGGTAAGTGGCTGTTGCACAAAAGTGCTGGAGTTCAACTAAGTTGATAATTGTCTTCCATGGAGTACTGGTCACTTCTCCCAAGGAGAATGATCCTGTTCTGCTGGGGATCAGTTGTGCCTGTCCTCTTACACTTGTGACTCCCACTGGTCACCCTCCATGACAATTAGTGGCTGAACCAGCAGCAGAAGCTGGGGGAGGGAGAGGAAGACTGTGCAGGCTTCTGCATTCTGTTAAACCACAGAAATAAGATCTAGGAGACTCCTGTGATGCCATCTCTGCTGTGGCCAGCTGAATTGGAAGGGCACTTTGCTCTGAATGACTCTTCCCCTATTGTGTTTCATTGCAGTGGTCAGCTGATGACCTGTTTAGGGACTGACTTCCACCGTGGAGCTGGAGTCCTTGATGTCTTCTACGAAACACCCTCCCTTCTCCTTTCTTGTGGGTATGACACCTACATCCGCTACTGGGACATACGGACCAGCACCAGGTGAGCATACTCTGCTGGCCTCTGGGGCTCTCCTTGGGCAGTATCTGGGGACTCACCTGCAGCTGAATTAGCTCCTTCAGGTAAACTGGGGCTCAGCTCCAGTGGTGGTGGAGTGGAGGTTCAGCTCCGATTTGTGTTGCCCATCCAGGAAGTGCGTCCAGGAGTGGGAAGAGCCCCATGACAGCGCCCTGTACTGCATAAGGAGTGATAAGAACCATATGATTGCCAGTGGCTCTTCTTACTATGGTGTGGTGCGCCTCTGGGACAAGCGGCAGACTCGGTGCCTGCAGGTGAGAGCTTACTGGAGGCTGGGCAGCAGCAGAGCTTCTGTATTGTTCTCTGGCAGCCCAGTGCCCATGTCTCTCTAGAAGAAGGGAGAGGGGCTGTTGGACTGTCTTTGCAGCAAGCCCACTATGGAGAAACTAGCAGGGAAAAGCCTCTGACATCTCAGCTACTGGGTCTGTAATACTGGTTGTGGTCTTTGTGTTGACCTTTCTTTGAAAGGTGGTTTCTCCTGTTTTCTTGCAGAGCTTTCACCTGTCTTCACCCACCAGCAGCCCAGTGTACTGCCTCCGTTTCAGTACCACCCGTCTGTATGCTGCCCTGGCATCAGCCCTGCACGTCCTAGACTTCACGGCCCCATGAAAGGGCACCACAGCTGCTTCTGGTCACCCCAAAGCAGAGTTAACACTTGGCTCAGGGAACCACAGGGCAGGAGAGGTGAGAATGGCCCCCAAGGCTTTTGAAGGGATGATTTTTTTTTGCCTACCAGAAAGCTACAATGAAGAGTGCACAAAGGGCCAGACTTTCTCAACCTCACCTGCCTGTTAGTGGAAATGACAGCCTGTTGTCCTTTACCTTTTAACCTTTTTATTTTGTGTAAATCAGGGTTTGGTTTCTTAACATTTTTATTTTTCTTTTTTATTCTTTTTTTTTGCTGGGGATATAGCATTTGAGGGGCACTTGAGTTGGGATGCCCTGTCAGCTGTGTGTGCTGGTCAGGCTGGGATCAGCCACGCTCTGAGCCATGTGAAGGAAGTCTAGGCTGTGTGTGAGGTGGAGGGATTTGGTGGAAGGGAAAGTTGCCTGAAGCCAGGCCCACCTTTCACCTGTGCTTGCTCTCCTGAGAGCTGCTTGTGTTGTCTTTTGCAACTAAGAGCAAAAATTAAACTAAAAGGCAGAGCCAGCCCTGCTTTCAGTGTATGCCTCCCCAAGCTGGCCGTGAGGTCAGGCTGTGCACTTGGCAGGGCTGAAGTGTTCACATTTTGCTAAATAAAAACTCTGAAGGGAAACAAAAGAGACTGTATGTTTTGTTTCAAGTTCAAAATGGGCTGGTTGCAGAGGCCTGGCTGGGCAGAGGAGGTTGGGCCTATTTTCAGATGCTGTCTTACAGATCTCTCTCCCTAACTAGATCCTGTGACACTGCTGCATTGAAGGCAGTTCCTGGGATCCTGGATCTCATGTCACTTTTCCAAACAAGAATTCAAGAAGTAGGATCTGCATCTCGCTTGCTGTCTGCATAATGAAGCAGTAAACACTGAGACCTTGAAGGGTCCTGTGGGCACATGCAAGTGGGCTCCACTCCTCTTTGTGTCAGCCATCTGAATCCAAATTGGATTTCGGAACAACTGTAGCTTTCAGTGTGCTCCGTGCTGTCTGGATGAATGTGGATGTGTGTGGACAGATGTGCTGTGGGTGGATGCAGCCATGTTTGGGGTTTGGTCCTTTTTGAGTGGAAGGAGATGTGTGAACCCTACTTACCTGTGAGTTTGGGTATCTTGGATAGGTAAAAGGAGAGGTTTTGTGGGGGAACACTTCTAGGGCAAAGCACCCAGAATGGTGCTTTGTTGGAACTTAATGTAATTTCCACAGTCAAGAGGCTGCTTTTCCCGTGTGATGCACAAAAATTGGAATGAGATGTTTGCTGGAGCCCCTGCAAGAGCAGGGAGGGAGTGGAACCAACCAGATCCTCACCTTCTTGAAGGGAGCCCTCCATTCCCAGTGGATGTGAGACAGCATCTCGGGGTGCAAAGTAATTTAAAAGCATGGCCTTCTTGCAGGATTATGTGCTCACAAGAATCTTTCCAGCACAGCTCCCTGTCACAGTTCCTGATCTGTGCCTGTTCCTCTGCTGCCACTTGTGCCTGCTACACAGGTGAGTCCACTGCTACCACAGTGCTACATAGTCTCCTTGTGTAAGTAGCAGAATTGATGTGTAAGTGCCCCAAGCTGTAAAAAGATGCTATGGCTGGAAAAATCTTCCATCAGCTCAAAGCCATAGATCCCAAAGATAATGATCCTGTGGGAGTCTCTGGGTTATTGGTAACACTGATGCTGAAAAGATGGTGCTTTGCATCCAAGGTTGCAAAATACTGCTGCTGTATTGCTTGGAGTATCTTGGGCTGTGCATGTGAGGAGAGCTTTAGGTAAGTGATTAGGCAGGAGATAGAAGATTAGAGGGAGAGCTGGCAGAGCTTGGGAGTAGGGGAAGTCTGGCTTTTCTCAGGTCCTGGTGTGTTACAGGTCCTTTAATGAAACTGGGAGAGAGGGATGGAGATATTAAATGTCTTTGGCAGTATCCCCACGGAGAGACTGTGAAGGAACGAGAGTAACTGTTGGGTAGGAGGAGAGGTTTTTTATTACACTGGGACTTGGGCAAGGCCCAGAGTAGGAATGAGCATGTCAGCTGAGGAGGTGAACAAGTATCAGTGGTGCAGGAGACTCCTCCCATGACAGGCCTGCCTGCAACACTGCTGTTGTTAGTCCTGCCATTTCTTTCCTGCAGCCTGTGTTGGTGGGTCCTTTGCCCTCCTAGCTACTTTTGGGTGTTTCCTGGCTGAAGCCTGAAGCAGAGCTGCAGCCCAATGGTGGTGCCAGTGCTGGTGGGTAGAAGGATGCACCCTCACATCTTGGGTGACACTGGGGAAGGGGGAAGCTGCAAGTGGGGCTGGTGCACTGGCTCTGATGACCTCTGCTAGTTGATAGTACCTCCGTTGTCTTGGGAAGACCATGTTGTTCGTTGGGTCCTGGAGCCACCCAGCAGCGAGGCTCTAACTGGGGATGCCACCCAGGCATTAAGCTTTCATTGTTTGAAAGCAGTCTTCGTCAGGGGAGCTACACTAGGAGCCTGTGACTGGCTCACTTAAAAGTAGTGTTTGTTTGGGTAGGAGCTGTTCAAATATGAACCAGGATGTAAGGACATGCAGAAATGAAAGCACAGGATGCTGGTGCAGGAGAGGGACAGCAGCTGGTTGGAGGGCTAGTCACTAAAGCAGCACTGCAGGGATTGTCTCTGTGCTGTGCATGGGGTCTGTGTGGCAAGGTTTGTTTGTGCCTTCATGAAAGGGGTGTGCTCCGGTTACTTGGGAGCTGGCCAGCAGCCCCTGTTACTGCTTTCCCCTCTGTGCCATGCAGATGAAAGCAGCTGCATTTCAGTTCCTGCTCTTCTCAGCAGTCCCTGTCGCTTTCTCCTCCATGCCATGCAAATGAAGGCAGCTTTGCATAGCGCCTGCATTCTGCACGGCACACTGCACATGGCTGGTGGTAAGAAAGCAGTTGGGTGTCCTCCTCAACACCCTGTTTCATAGCCTGTGCCCAGTCAGGTCTAAGCATTGATGCTGTGTGCAGAGATACCAGAGCATCCTTCTCGCTGTATGGAGGACCTTGCACAACAGTGCAGGAGGGAGTTGCTGCCAAGCACACCCCACACAGGTAACAGGGTGAGGGAGGTTGTGTCTTGTTTTCCAAATGTTACTGCCCTCAGCAATGGTGGCAGAGAGGGGATTCCCATGGGGAGCTATCCAGCTTTCATGGCACTTCTCATGGAGGATGGGAAGAGGGCTGCTGGCTGTGGATGCGGTGCTCTTCCTTTGCATGCTGCAGCTTCCCAAAACTCATAGAAGAATCATAAATGTCTATGCAAATCAGCAGACCAGGCAGTAAAGAGATTGACCTCCCTGTCATCTCCCTGGGCCTACACAGATTCCTCCAAATGGCTCTATTAACAACAGGATTAATTTTTATTAGAAAAGGCAAAATAAATACCATGAAGCCATGTCAGAGAGCTGCTCCCCACCTCAGCCTCTTAGCAGCCATTTCCTACTGGGTCTTACAGTCGCCATCCCCACTGTTAGCTGCCTTTACCTTCTTCAGCTCCTTCTGCAGCTGCTCTTCTGCAGCCAGGATCTCCTTCGGCTTCTGGTACTGTGGGACAGAGAGAAATGTCTGTAGCACTCCTCTTGAGCCTCTGCTCCAAGCAGACCAACTGGAGCCGTGTGCTGCCAGCACAGCTGGGGCTCTCCTGCCAAATGAGGCCCTCCTGTTACCGGCTGCCTCCAAAGCCCATTTGGAGAGGTGGTGCCATCAAGCTAGGCATATTTGCCAAATCTGGGGTGTCTTACAATGCAAGTAAAACTCCTCAGTCAGATGTGGAGTCCTGGCCCCCACCAACCTCTCTGGAATATCCTGGCAACCTGTGTCATGCAGTTCCCTGGTGTGCTCACTGACTGTATGCTTACATGTGTAATATATATATATATGTGTGTGTGTGTATATAAATATATATCTAAAATATGCCTGCTTTTTAAAGACAGAGAAGTAAGAGTTGCAGTTCCTCTGTCCTCAGAGGGCCCTCATCCAGCTGCAGTTTAGTGGTGGATACAGGTGCTTTTTGGCAAGGGTTTGGCCTGTAGCAAACAGAAGCTTGGACGGACTCAAGGTGCTCCTCTTGGCCTATTTCCCCTGCATGTGCACCCCCAGCTCTGCTGCAAGGTTTCCCTCAGAGGGGATGCTCTCTGGATAACTGACTTCTATATTTAAGATGAGCACCTGCTGCTCAAAAGTGTCTGTCTGCTCCTTGCAACAAGAAGGAAGTGCCTGCTTTGCTAGTCTCTCACTTCCATCACGTGTGTGGAAGTGTGTCCTCTCTGACACAAAGCAGCAGGTGATTTTAAACTTAAGACTGTGAGACCTCTAAGTGCAGCA